GGTGGGGGGGGCAGCTTCTCCTCTGCCATTGCCCCGCCAAGCCTCCCCTGACACAGCCTCAGGAAGAAGGGGCCGGCTGCCACTCCGCCTGGAGCCCCACGGTATCCTAGCAACTCTGCACATCGCCTGATGAGCCATGGGGAGGGCCACTCACTCCAGGGAGCACCTAGCTGGTCTGCTCCTCAGCCCCGAGTCCTTAGGGTGAGTCAAGGAGGACGCCCGTCCCCAGGCCTGGAGTGGGCACTCAGCTTGGGGGAGAGTGAGGCAGTTAGAGGCCGGGGGCCAGCAGACCTGGAGCCCTTCCCCCCGCCTCTGTGCAGAGGACTGGGTGGGAGGGCAGATGGCAGTGGAGGACATCCCAGGTGCCCCCACCACCCTGTGTGCCCCTCCAGCTGTGCTGGGGCAGGGACAGTGGCAGAGCTATTTTGCTTATGCTGCCGCGGCTGCTGCAAGGAGGCATCAATCATTGATGCTCTGGGCATCCCTGCCTGCCTGGAGTGGCACGGAGGGCAGCCAGCCAGGTGGGTGGGGCAGGCCTGGGGCTCTGCTGAGGAGTGTGGGCCTAAGGAGCTACGCCGGCCGGCAGCCCTGGCCCCTCGCCCTGTGCCCAGCAGTGCACTGCACCGCCAGCCGCAGCACCTGGGTACCCAGTCTGAGACCCGCGACCAGCGGGCCGGGCCAGGGCTGGAGTATGGCGCCAGCCTCCCTGGCACGGTGCTCCTAGGGAGGGGGTTGAGCAAGTGCGGGCCAGCAGGAGAGAGCGCGGGCCGCTTACAGCCACCACAGGCCGCCCCCCACAGGGGTGCCCCTCAGAAATGGTGCGGGGCCTTGTGTGTGCCAAGTGTGTCTGTGAGTCAGCCCGTGTCTCCATGCTTCTTGAGGGGCAGCTATTCCTGAGCCATGCCCAGCTGCTGTGGCCTCCGCCAGCGGGGCGTCTGTCCCCAGAGGGGGACCTCAGGACGGGGCCGGAGCAGAGCGTGACGGCAGGAGCTCCTGGCTGCGCAGGGCACTGCGGCAGGCGCCCTGCCAGGCTTCGGCTGGGCGGTAGGGAGGGCAGGGGTCAGGCACAGATGGGCCTCGCAGGTCCTACCCGGGCAGCCTTCTCCCCATCAGGCGCTGTGACCCCGGGGCCAGGCCGGGGTTTCAAGGCCCCCACGGGTGGGAGGAGGGATTGGTAGGACGAGGCAGGGCCCAGCCTGGCTGGCCTGGGGGCTGACTCCTGGGCAGTCTCCCTCTACACAGCTGCAGTCTGCCCTCTGTGGGGTACACTGCCTGAGGGACCACACACTTCCAGAGATGAAATGGGCCTACAGGGCCCCCGGTGGTACATAGGGGTGCACACAGCGGGTGAGGCCAGCCCTCTGCCTCAGGGGACACAGGAGAGGGGAAGGGGCAACCCCTTGGCTGGGGCTGGGGTGGTCCCTGCCTACCCTCATCCTGAATCTGGGGCCCTGAGCCAGTGCTGACTCAACTCCCTGGCAGCAGAGTGAACTCGGCCCCAGCAGGAAAATGTAAGCCCACCCAACCCTCACCAAGCCCAAAGGCAAAAGTGGCCCCAGGGAGGCCACTGGCCTGGCTGGCCAGGATTCCCAGGGAGCACCCAATTGCCCAGGGACTGTCCCCAGAGGGGCCAGCGGTGCCCGCCTCCACTCTCCCTCAGTGGCCACATGAGACCCCCTCCTCCTGGCCTCTGTTTAGGTGGGGCAGCCCCCTGGCCTCCCCACCCAAGGCTCCCCCCTCCCCCTCCCCACAGAGCTGACAGGAGCCACCACAGCCCTGTGTGCGCCATGCTGGAAAATCAGGATATATGTCACACAGGGTGAGGCCACTTCAGCTGAACGGGGGCCCAGGAGCCACACAGCTTATCCAAGTTCACATGCCTAACTGGGCAGGGGGACAGAGAGCTTGTGCTGACTGCACAGATTGCCCCTTGTTCCCAGGCCCACAAGGCCAGAGTCACACACACAGAGGACAGGCAGGCTGAGACCCCCGACAGGCCCGAGCAGATGCCAGACACACCCAGGGACACATACAGCTCTCTCCCTGTGCCCACAAGTAACTGACTCCCATCCAGACAGAGTAGGGCAGGGTCTCAGGCCCCAGAGCAATGCTGCCTGGCCTGAGAGAAGACACCAGGGCAGGAGGGGTTAGACCCAAGCCCCGGTGTCCCCACCTAAAGGACAGGGCTGTGCCCCACCATGCCATGGGCTCGAGAGACGGAAGGCTGCCAGGGCCTCTTCCCGGCAGTGATGTGTGTGTCTGTCTGACTGCTGGAAGGCCGCCCGGCTGCAGCCCAGCTAACGGGAACTGCCAGGCATGAGTCGTCCCGCTGGGCAGGCTCACCTGGGCCCTGCCAGCTGTGCGGATCCCTCAGTGAGCCCAGGAATAAGTAGTGTGCTCTGTGTGTGCACCTGTGTGTGTCTGCATCCTGTTGTGCACATCCCGGCACGTGTGCCTGAGTGGATGCATGTGTATGTGTGTGTTCCCAAGCATTTGTGTGTGTGTGCGTGTATGTGCGTGTGTGTGCCTGTCTCTGAGTGCATGGGGACATATCCAAGTAGACCTGTATCTGTGTATTGGTGTCAGTGTGTGACATCTCATCTAGAAGCGTTTGTGTCTGTGTCATGTGTGTGTCAACGTGTGTTTCTGTGTCTGTGTCAAGTCTGTGTGTCTGTGTGGTCCTCCTCTTTCAGCCTGGCCCCTTTCTGCCCCAGGAAAAGTTGTTTGTGTGTGTTTCATCTGCCCCAGCACCACGGGCACCATTCCAGGGCAGCCCCCAGGAATGTGCTGGCCCTGGCTCTTCACCCCCACCCCAGCAGGACCCAGACTCCCCAAGGGGCCCTTCCTCAGGTCTACGCCTGGCTGGGCCTCAGGTAACCCCCTACTTCCTCAGAAACAGAGCTCTCCCAGGCATCCCCACTCCCTGCCCACACCCCCAGACGTGCCCTGTTGCACATGTCTGCACGACACCCAAGCTGGAGCCCAGGGTGGCCCCTAAACCTCCCCAGTGGTCTTCCAAGTCCCCTCTGCCAGCTTCCAGAACATCCAGGACCCTTCTCCCTCATCACAACCCTGCCCCGGTCCAGCCCCCACCCTCTTGTGGGGCTCCTGACCTCCAGCACTGTGCCCCTAGGGACATCCCCCAGCCACCTGGTAGTCAGCCCTGCTGCCCCCTGCCCCCAACCCCACTGAGCCTAACTTTCAGCGGCGTGAACCAGCTTCGGCTCTCTTACTCCGTCTGTCCTCTGCACACACACTACTGCGTTGCTTCGGTCCAGAACGCTGTTCCCTACTCCTGAAGTCCGAGCTTAGACTGTCTGCCCGGAGCCTTCCAGGATCCCTCCCCACCCACCCCCACCGTGGCACCATGCTACCCCGCTGCGCACACCTCCAGACCAGGAGCCCCCAGGGCCGGGCTAGTGGAGTCAGATCACATGCCGTGGCCTCCCTGGGCTCCGCTGCCCCTACGCCCTCGCCCAGGGTGCCCTGCTCCCCAGCTTGTGACTGAAATATCCTGTCTCCGGACTGGGAGGCAAGACTGCGGCGCGCAGGTCAAGTCCGGGAGTCTTGGCGCGGCGTCCGGGGACCGCCCCCGGGCCCCCACCCCGACACCCCCGGACAGGCGTCCAAAGTCAACACTCAGGACTCTGTTGGGGCGCGGGGCGGGGCCAATCTAGTGGCGGGGAGGGCCTGCCGCGGAGCCTGTGCCGGTGATCGGACTGGAGGTGGGACGTTGGCGGGGTCCGGACTGAAAGGCGGGGCCTTAGTGGGCGTGGCCGGGGTCAAGCCAGTTCCCGGCTGGACAGGGGCGTGGCGTGGCCACTAGGGGGCGGGGCCTGGAGGGCAGCAGCCAATGCGCTGAATGAGGCAGGCGGCGCCGCCCGCGCTCGCTCCGCAGTGGCTGGGCTCGGGCTGGGCTGGCCCGGGCGGGGTCCTGGCGGCGGCGAGGTTGGGGGCGCGAGCTCTGCCCGCAGTCCGCGGCCCGCAGCCAGCGGCATCGCAGGGCAGCGGAGGCAGAGCGCTGCGCTCGCCAGCACCCTGGCCGCCCGCGCGGCGGAGCCGGGATCTGCGACTGGACGCGACGGGCCGCCGCCGGCCAGCACCGCCCGGCCGCCAAGATGTGCGACTGCTTCCACATGATGCTGCCCACCTGGCCCGAAGCCCCCGGCAGCGGTGCGCCTCCTCCCCGCCTGCAGCCCGCTCCCCTCGGGGCGGGTGG